GGAAGAACAAAAAGGGAAAAGAAAAAAATGTGAGAGAATGAAAAGATGAAAATAAAGTGTTTGTAGATGGGGAGGGGAGGAGGGGGTGAAGGGAGGGCAGAGGTAAGGGGAAAAAATGAGAATCAAGACTTGCCATGTAAAGGTACATGATCCCAACAATGAATGTAACTGTACTGTATCCCTAAAATGTACCAATAAACTCAATAAAATTAAAAAAAAAAAACTTATTTTAAAAATTATGTCCAAACTGAGAAAGCTATATTCACATTGAATAATTAAAATGATAATAATATTGATCCACGCTTCCTCGAACAATAATGCCATCAAACATTTTGTAAAAATTAATTAAGTCTCACACTCTCCCTATTTGAAAATGAATTAATAATTCATGGAATAATAAGACCTGTACAATCAACACCATTAACTGGTTCTTAGGATGAATTTAATCCCTTTGTCTTGCAATTTAATCACTAGAAAATTCTTTCATCTTTTATTGACTTGTATTTCAACTCTCCTTATTTTAATTTTTAATAAATATACCTGTCTTATTGACTTAAAAATCTTATAATACAAACTTTAAAAATAGTCTGACTTCTATGCATCTATGAAATTAGAAGAGATGTTTAGATAGTGTCTTTTATTTAAAGTATTTGTAAATAGGGGAGGGTGGAGGGGGTGAAGGGAGGACAGGGGAGGGGTATGGGGAAAAATTGAGAACCAAGATACATCATGTAAAGGTACAAGATCCCAGTGATAAATGTAACTGTATTGTATACTTAAAAAGTACCAATAAACTCAATGAAAAAAAAACATAAAAAGAAAAGAAAACAAAAAATGTATGTGGTTTATTCTGAAGTAGATTTACTTCTAAAATTTTATGAGAGAGATTTAAAAAATACTTAGAGATATAAAACCTGAATTTATAAAATTTCCATTAACTCTTCAGGTCCCACTACTCACTATGTAGAATGTCAAGCAGGCCAACACTTCTCTCTGAAAGATATAAAATGAACCTGTAAATGGAAATTTCTTTTTTGCAATAGAGACTAGGAAAAGGGAGTTTGACTCTTCCAGAAATCTACCAGCTTAGTTTTAACTTTTAGTTAACAGCTAAGGTCAAGGATGAAAAGATAGTGACAATGTTATTTGTTTGCAGGTTTCTTCATTTCTTTACCAATAAGGACTTTTTGGCCAGGTTACTTTGCAATAATTACTTTTAATAAATAACCAATTCCTTCTGAGCTCCTATATTATTTCTGAAAACTAAAAATTAAAAAAGTAAATCCAAGAAGCAATTTTTCTCAGCAAAAGAAGAGGCTGTCTACTTCTTGAGATTTTAGGGACACTGGAGCAGTCAGTAGTGTACCCTAAAATAAATCTTCTAATACCCTCAAGTAAAACTACCATCACTAGTACAAATATTGATAAAAGCAACAATGACAAGAATCATATAGCCTCCTTGTGAGTACTTGCTATATTTGAGGCAGTGTGCTAAGCGTTTAGCACATACATTATCACTTTTGATCCCCACATAAACACTGTAATACAAATAGCATCATCCCCATGGCACAGACGAGAGTGCTGAGGTTCAGGATGGTGAAACACTTTATCAGAAGACACTCAGTGAGTAAGTGGCAGAGCTGTTTTATGAACAAAGTTTGCTTACAGTCATTTCTCTAAAAATGTATTCTCTGGGAGATTTCATGACTTCTTTGTTTTATTGTTACCCAGCATCATGCTAAAACCCTATCATCACAACACACTGCTGGAAAAAAAATTAATTCATTTCTAATTTTGAGTTAAAAAGTACTAATTTCCCATTAGTAATTACAACTGGGAAACATAAGCATTCTTTGGAGAGTAGATCTTAGGATAGGTTTGTTTTATTGTATTTTGCTTTTGGGTAGAGGGTGAAGAGTTTAAATCCAGAGAGTGGAGTCTTGAGGGAAGTCCTGTAAGATCTTACCTTGGAGAGGATTTGCAGATATGGAGGCAAAGGATAACTAGGAGAGATAGAAAAAGGCCACTTGTTTTACAGACTTGCTATGTATAAACCTGGGCTGAAGTCCAATTCCCTATTTATTTTCTGGATTCAGCCTCATCATATCAAGTGTTACATGCAAACTTCTGCTTCTTGTCCATTGGCCAAAGCAAAAGAATTGGGAAAAAGCCCTCTGCTCTGGTGTCAGAAAGACAAGAACTACAGTACTGGTGAGTATCCGTAGTGATGACCATCATTACAAATAATAAAAAATGAAACAAAAGTATAGTCAAAGACAAAAGGTATGTTTGAGATGAATTAAAAGCATGTACGTAAAAATAAATAAGCTTAGAAAATGTAGCAGAATATCTCTATAACAACAATTGATGATTTTTTTTAAAAAGGAAATAGTTACAATAATATTAGCAGTCAACACTGGTAAATACAATTACCTTAAAATAAATACTTCTTATGAGACAAGACTTTTAAACAGAAAAATGTAAGACAGGGCTGGGGATTTAGGATTTAGGTCAGTGGTGCCAATGCCTTCACTGCAAGCACAAGGTCCTGAATTCAATTCTTGGTACAAAAAAAAAAAAGTAAGCCAGACACAAGAGCAGAAGCAACCCTTATAGCCAAAAATAATTTGCAGAGCTCACACACTTTTAAGAATCAATAAGAAAAAGACAACTAATCCAATATACAAATGGCCATAAATATGAGCAGATTATCCACGAGTAAAAATTGAAGAGGGGATGGTAACACACAGAATGCTCAACCTAAATACCACTTGTGATCAGAAAAATGCAAGTGAAGCACCATTAGACACCCATCTAGAGGAAAAAGTTATGTCTGACAAATCAGCACAGAGAAAAAAGTTACGTTTCACATGACCAGTAGAGAGAGAAAAGCTAAGTCTGATACGATCAGTCTAGCAAGACTGTGAATAAAATGGAAAATCATTTGTAGCCATAGTAACCTTAAATCAATCGTTTTATTTAACAATTTTGGATTTATGTAGTAAAACAGAGTATGGGCCTAACTACAAACCTATATTTCTATACCTTTTTATTTCGCCTCTCAAATAAGAATACAGGCAATACTATTGAAAGTCGTTCTTTGCAGCAATATTGAAAGTATTCTTGGTCTAAAGGATACAGCCATTGGAATCTATTCCCAAGCAGCACCCTTCACAGTGGCAGCTTTCTTGTTTGCTTCATTGACCGTGATGTCCTCGTCACCTAGAATGTTGCATGGAACATGACAGATGCTTAAACATATTTAATTAACCAAATTAATAAGTGAGGAATTATTAGTGTATAGGAAGAATCTAAAAATGAAGGAACAAAAATTTCATACATCCATACACCACACATACATGAAGAGAGAATCTCAATACTGGGTGAAAAATTAGAGTTACATTGTTTGTGACTTTAAATTCAGTTGTACAAGTTATAAAACATAAAATGCCGCACATTGCTTACAGAGATTGTGTGTGTGTGTGTGTGTGTGTGTGTGTGTGCATGCAAATACAATATAACAAGAAGGGCAGATAAATTCAGGAAGGCAGTACCTGGGATGAGGGGAAAGTTTGAAGTTACAAAGCACAAAAGCAACTGTAATTGTAGTTGTACTATTTTTAAACCAAAAATGCAAAATATTTTCATTTCTAAGACCTGGATACTGCACTATATCCTGACTTTCTAAATTATCAGTTCTTATATTTCTCTTTGTATGAAATATTCTTTGATAAAAATTGTTTAAAATATCCAACATATCCAGGTTAAATTCATGGAGCAACTCGGTAGGAAAATCTGTTTCTTAATAATGCATTGCAATTTGTTATACTTTTATTTTTAATAGCTTAATAATTTACTTTGATAATGTTCTTTTTTTAAACTATTCTATTCAGATCCTAGAGGTTTAAAATATCAGTGTAATTTTGTGGTTAGAGAGCACTGCAGAAGTTCATTACTGCTTCCAGAATCCCATACTTGCTGTTACACTTACATCAGACAGTAATTAATTAATACACACGTACATACAAATGACACTGCACTGGCTGCAGCACAAAACTCTTCTCATCCCGTCCCCAGCTTTGAGAAGCTTGCTTTTGAAAGTGTCTTTAAATTTAGAAAAGGCTTTGTAATATGCCAGAGGAAGCAGCCACATCAGTCCAAAGCAGTATTTCTTATGATTTCCACGCCTGGACATGTGATCTTAGTTCTGTTGCATCTCTGTTCTGGGTGAGGATGGAAAGTTCTCTGGTATTTTCTGCACTCTCAAGCATACTGTTCATACTTCATAGATTATTTTTTAAATCGCAATATTTAACCTTTCATTATAGTTGTCCTTAGCTGTTCCATTCATCTCTTCATGATTTGCTTCTCATTCATCATAATGCCTTTAATGACCATTGTAATTAAGCAAAACAATTGTGCATGGCTTTAGTTATAGATTATGCTAAGAGGAATATACACGTATAACACTATTACATATATTTGTGACTCTAGACAATCCAAGCTGTTTAATCCTTATCAGTGACATCAGTGTGGACCCAATTAGCACAGTTTGCAGCCACTTCATAATTCAAAAGAATGTGATCATTCAGCTGGAAGCACATTTGACAGAAACTCCATAGTCAGTAAAGTAAAAGCTTGCAAGATCACCCACTAGGATGGAGAAGCTGTCATTCTTTCATCAGTGCTGTTGAATACTAATGTCAAGGTCAGAATGGTGTAATTTTAGGCTGCCAAAATATTTCTGGGATTGATATACCAGAAGATGTTTAAAAAAGTAAAGAAACAGAACTTTGAAAAACTTTCTCAAGGTAGAGTTTGATCTGACTCTTTGCTGTAGGAGACAAGTCTCCATTTTATCAGTTTTCCAACAAAATCTTCTGCTAATTCTCTTGCATAATGACTCCAATATTCTTCCTCTCTTTTGTTATCTATATTATTAAATATATCTTGGCTGAGAATTGTAACTATTGTAAAAATGTATCCCTTTGAAATTCTATTTTAGAAGAAAGTCTGCTTTTGTTAAGCTCTATACCACACACACACACACACACACACACACATACACACACATGCCTGCCACGATGGGAGAGTATGAGCTACATGTATTTTAAGTAGACTTTTATGAAAATGTCATTTTAAACATGCTTCTCTTGTCGCAGTGTAGAGAGTAAGAACAAAATAAATTGAGACAAGTTCAAATCATATTGAATTTCCAAGGCAATAGCTTGTTCTAATCAAGCAATAATTGCCACATTGTCACTAAATGCTATTTTTCTATGAAAAGGGTGTAGTTTTCCCAATGCTTTTATGTATATTGTGTATGTTATTTGCTGTTTACAGTCATTCCTGGAAACAGATCCATGTTTGTTGCCATTGCTTTAGAAAAGACATGTATGGTTCTAATTAGCTGTCGGACTTTCTGAAAATGGGCAGCAAATAGGCTCAGAAAGATCCTGGCCTTGGAATCCATTGTTTTGGATAGGTATCAATATCTTTATACTGCAGCACATTAACCCCTTATTACAATTTTTTGAACATAACACCCCAAATTGTTCTCCAAATATCTTCCCTCTTCCTTTCTTCCTTTCTTTGTTTCTCTATATGAAATTTTATCTCTGAATTTTATATATGAAACTTTGTATATCTGATTTTATATCTATGTACATACATGAAATTTTAGCGGAACGTATATCTCATATTTCTTTTAATTTTTATATTTGATAAGAATTTTCAGACTCAATCCAAACAGTGACAAAGGAAAACATAAATTTTATAATTGCCCTGATCTGATTGATTTTATAGACACAAATATGTAAATGAGCTAAGCCAAACAATAGCTCAGTGGGATTGCTTTCCATATTCTGGTACAGTTTGCAAGATGTCTAAAATGACATGTTCGCTGTAAAATATACATGGCCGGGTGAACTTCCCTACTCTTATTTTGCGCCTCAGTAACTCTAAAGAGAAAGTAAAATCTTTTCTTCTGCATCAGTCATGTTTTAAAAATATTTAAATATTGCTTTTATATATTCCTTAGCCTTTATAAACATATTGCATACTTTTAGCAAGTATCTAATTTTAACTTAGTACTGACAAGTCAAGGGTAGAGAGCCATCACCTTTTTAAGTGTTTCAGGGTGGATGTTTTAGCGGAATCAATTCAATCTATATTAGACTATGCCTATGTTTATATTCAAAAACAATTTATCAACTTCCTATGGTGCTTTGAACTTCTAAGACGATTATGTAGACAACACTATAAGTCTGCTCAATATTAAGCAACCTTTTGTGATTTAAGTATAAAATAAATAATTATGCCCTATTTTAAGTGACAAAAATTTGGCCTTGGAAATTGTGGTATAAAGGCTAAAATGAACCACAGTGATCCCTGGAATATTCAATGGCACAGCACGAAAGATAGATGTAACTCAAAAGTCACCTTCTTAAAGGAAGTATTTGAATGACAGGATACAGTATCAGAGAGGTAGAGAAAGGGAGACTGAAAGTTCGGTCCAAGGCATGAGCTGAAATTCATGTGGAAACAATATTTTTCTAGTCTATTGCATCTCTCAGTCTAATAGCTCTTCTGTTGGTCTTTTCAAATACTGGGTATTTTGCTAAACCTATATTGTATTAATTGCATAAACCAACGTATATTTATGGGCATCAACCAGCTGCTGTGGATTTACTCATAGATAAGTCCCTGCTATTAGGAAGCTCAAAGTCCAAAGGGTAAAGAAATTAAACTAAATAACCAAGGACTGCATGATTTATTTATATGCCAGAACTCTCCTTATGTTCCACGGATTGTGCCCTTTGTTCATTAAAGGAAAATAAAGTCATCTCAAATGTTAAAATGGTACTAAAATAGTATTAAAATAAACACAAATGGAAGAAAAGAGGATACAATAATTATATTATACATGTCAATACCACTGTCACCTCTCTTGGGCAGAAGCATTAACCTAATTGCCAAAGCCATGGAAAACCAATGGACTGGTTCTTGTTCAATGAGCTGCCACGTGGCACACACCTGTCCTATCCTGGGAATGCTATGCCCACCAGGCCAAAGTGGTTTCCATTAAGAGGTGTACCCTATTCCTATTGCTTCTTCCCCAACACAGGGTTTTGTGAAAATAGCTGTGCTTCTCACCTTATGGGAAGACCATGGCTCTGTTTGTAGGGTAATAGCTTCACTAGTGTGCCAGACCCATGAACTTGGGGATTTGAATATGAATCCAGTATTTGACAATTTACTTGTGGGTCATGTGGACTTTATTGGAACTATTTAACTTTGTCAGTCTTCCATTTTGCTATTTTAACATGGGAAAAATAAATAAAATATACCTACCTCAAAAATAATAGCAAGATTTGAGAGGAATGAAACTGGAAAAATTCCATCTAGCAAACAGTTGGTACATCAGCATTTCTCCCTTCTTTCTTTCTTCCTTTTCTTTCTTTTATTTTTTCTTCGTCTCCTCCTTAGCCAACTAATTTACAAATTGCCATCCAAGATGAACCACTTATATACTAGGTAGAAAAGCAAGTACAAGTGACCATGGTCTGCCAATAACTCTCAATGAACTAAAATCACCTGTAATTTCAGACCAGAGGATTGACACGATGGCTAAATGAAATAATGCAAGCAATGAAAGTGCATAGTAAGTGCTCAATAAATACCCACTACTGATAGCTGTAATATAATGTAGTTTCACTGTGGAAGTGGAGTGGAATTGCTAATTTTGCAAGAGTTGGATGAAATAATACAAGCAAAGCACGTGGTAAGTAGTAAATGTTCAAAAACTTAGCTGCGGCTACATTGGCTTCTACTATAGGGGTTTTCAGTACATGAGTGGGAGCAGGATTGGAAAAACCATTGTAAGACTAGGTTTCTGCTGTTACCTCACACCCTGCTAACAGTCTTTGATGGTAAGTAAACAAATTGCTTCATCTTATACTGGTTATGAAGCTACCATTGGGATCATTATACCGGCACGGAGCTCGAGCAAGTCTAGGAAAGAATAGATGAACTCCACTTTCTTTTAGCTCAATGAGTGATTACCACATTCGCCAGAATCAGAAAGAGAAAGCAAGGTTTTTCATTGTATTGTAGATCTAAATTTTAATAAGCATGCTTTCACCCAGAATGCTCTGCAATCTACTGAGACGGCAAGAGTTTCACAGGATTGCATTAATAAACAATTACTTTCAAAATATTTTTGCTCATATCACCTTAGTTCTACAATAAGTAAACATTTATTTGCCACATTGCCTATGAAATCTTAAAGCTTTCAAAGCTTTCTAGGAAATTGCAAGGAAAATGTCAAGTACAGGGGATGCCAACAGTTTTATTTTAAATATTTTCTGGCAGAACTGAGACTTAAAAGCATTAACCTCCAGTTATACAGGTCAAGTTTCAAATCAAGTTTTCAGGAAACACAAAAATTGTCAGAGTGCACAATAATAAACTAATCCTCCCTTTAATTTTGGCTTTCATCTTCAACCCAAAATCCTAAGCACACACTGCAGCATTATACATGTTAAAATATTCCATAGAAGAGTTTGCAGAAAGCTGGTATGTAAGCCTAAATGTCCTAATTGTCTTCTTAACAAAGAAATTTGGTTGAAGAGCTCAGCACAAAAGCAAGTCTTTCCAAAGCAACAAAAAGGTCTGTTAAATCCTTAAAAAAAAGTCTCTGATGCTAAATAATTTGATTTGGGATCCAAATAAATTAAGAACAAGGCACTCTTTCATTAAAGCAGTGACCCATTTTATGGTGGTGGGCTGTGGCTTGTTCACCTCTTTATTCGAATGTGACTTATGCTAACTAATGGAGTCCAAGCTCCACCATTTATAATTGTGGCAGTTGGAAGATTGAGCTGGGTTTTTTTTTGTTTTTTTTTTCCATTCAAGCCTGAGATTTTTTTTTTCTTGAATCATAAAACTTGAGAAATACATGTTGACGTTCTGTATTTGCACTGTGGGCATTGGCTAGGCATCACCATAATTCTCAGTGACAGACATTCTTTTACAAAGATACGTTCTCACCTAATTTGTGTGAAGCAGTCCCCAAAAAATGTTATGGTAACAGCCAGCACATGTGCAATATTGCTTTCAAATCACATACATGTGACAATGCCAAAATGAAAATTTGTGGAAATGACATCTGCAATTGAAAAAAATACACCTCATAAAAACCACAGGGAATTTTGCTTTGCTGGGAGTTGTTTTGGTCAGTCCCCTTTTAATCTAAAATGACTACTTTATCACACTTCTGAGCTGTCCCTGCTTTAGCAGTGAGGCATGAGAAGGTTGGGTCATACAAGGGGCATCCACAATAGCAGCAGGTTAAAGGACAGCTACAACTACAATGCAAAGGATGAAGAGAGAAAATCATGGTATCTCAATATTTCCCACCCCTAACTTGACTTTTTATTATATGTCAATCAAAGTTTAGCAAACTGATTGCCAGGTTGTCCTTGTAGATATAAGAACAATCATTAAATCTTGTATGGTGCTTGGTATATGTCAAGCAGTCATCTTAGCATTTTATATATATTAACTCAGTTAATTTTTACAGTGGTCCACAGATAGATGAAGAAGTTGGAGTAGAGGTTAACTAAGGTTGGAGCTGTTGTCTGAGCACAAACTGATTCTAGAGTTTGTGTGCTTATTATAGACGGACCATTTATAAATATTAGAAAGTTAAAGCATTTAACAAAATGAGCATTCAAGAAAGGTAACCTATGATTATTGTGCTATTATTATTATTATTTTTATTATATTTGCCCTGTAGACTTTGCTATCTGTACTTATATAAGAAATTATTTGGATAGTTTGATCAATAGATGCAGCAGCTTTGGTAATGAGTATCCCCACCAGAAATCATTTCTCCTTGATTATAAGGCATTCAGAGATTAATTATATAACAATTTCTTTAATAACCAAGAGCTTTTCTGATGTATATTATTATTTAGTAAAAAGGTTTATAATTATGCAATTGTATTCATGACAGAGAAAGCTGTTTATTTCCAAACTTCAACCCCAAAACATTGCTTCTATTACCCCGATATGCTTAATTCACCTCGACAGCTTTATTGAAAATGTAAAACTTACAAGTGCCCCCTTTCCCAGCGTTGCTCCTCAGGGAGCAGAGGTGTGGAGACTGCTTCCGACATTCAGCAGAACTCCCCATGACCCGTATCTGCATCTGTGCATGTGATGAAAATTCATGAGCTGCCTCTTTGAAAGTGAGCAAGTTCTTCCAGTTCCTTTATGTGAATAAGAGCAGAAGAATCTCCCAGGAACCCAGGGGTAGAGGACACGGTCACCTGCACAATGCAGGCGGGAAGTGTTGCCCTGCTCACAGGAGGGGCAGCACCTAATCTGCTGCAGCCCTGTCAGGCCTTGTCCTGAGCCTCATCACAATGTGAGCTCGATAGCATTTCCAGAAGAGTGGCCACATATGGTTTTTTTTAGCTCTGTCTTATTTAGCTACCTCTCAGTAATTTCTGGTACAATTTTTTTTCCCAATCTCAAGAGCAGCTTCACAGCACTGTAAGAAAGAGCTGAAATAACTCGTAAGGAGGAAAGCTTTATTTTATGATCAGTTGACCTCATTGACTCTAGGCGTATGGTGAAACAGCACCTCAGAGAGGGGAGTTTGGCAGAGAGGAAGTGCTCACCTCTTGCTCAGCGAGAGACAGAGAGAGAGACTGAGAGAGAGAGAGACCTGAAGAAGAAAGCGAAGGAGGAAGAAGAGGGGGGAGAGGGAAGGGGAGGGGAGGAGAGGAGAGGAGAGGAGAGGCATCAGTTTCACTGTCCCTGCAAGGGCCATCTGTAGACCTCCCACCATGCCCTACCCATTCAACCTTTTGCCACCTCCAAATAGCACCACTTAGAAGCAATCCTTTAGCACATGGCCCTTTAGGGAACACTTACTCAAACCTTAGTCTTCATACATTAGGGAATTTTAGCTTTTTTAATTATAAAAATCTGAATTCAGACTTTGGAATGAAGTGATGATCGTAACTCTGACATAAACATTCTCAGAAAATCTCCTAACCCAAGAAATTATGGTAGATTTCCAAAGCTGATTGAAATTCTTTGATAGCTTTGGATGAAATTCTAAGGCATGGTTATTATTATTTCAAAAATTATTATTATTATTATTATTTCAAAAATGTTTATCAAGATGAAATTCACAGAACATAAAGTTAGGCCCTGTAAAGTGAGCAACTGATGGCATTTAATACGTACACAATGTTGCACAATTGCCACATCTATTTCTAGAATGTTTTCCATTGACCCAAAATAAAACCCCTTACTGATTAAGCACTTTCTCCTTTTTTTCCTTGATCCCTGGAAACTACCAATTGACACTATTTTCATACAAATTTAACTGTTCAGGATGTTTCGTATAGATAGCATCATGCAATGTCTGATCTTTTGTGTTTGTCTTATTCCACTTACTGTGTGTTTTCAGGCTCTATCCAGGCTGTAGCGTGTATCAATGCTTTATTCCCGTCTGTAGCTTAAAATATTCAATTGCAGATGCGAAGAGTACTCATGGGAGTGTGTTTCTCCATTCTCCCATTGATGGATATTTATGCTATTTCTTTCTTTTGGCTACTGTGCGTAATGCATCTATGAAAATGTATACACGTGTATTAGATACTTATTTTCAATTTTGATAATATATGCATAAGAATGTGATTGCGATCTCCTTAGACTATCTTTTCAGTTATTCAGGTTATATTATTCTTAAATCAACTGATATCATCCTTGGTGGACCAGACACCATGTCCCAATCTTAATCATTATTTCAAATTTAGCTGAGGCCTCACTTTGTAGGCCTCACAATGTTTTTGAGTGTGCTCTGTACTCTCTTCTAATCCTACTCTGCAGGATCAAATGAGACAGGATCATAGGATTGCTACACTACAACAGGAACATTTGCCTTTAAAAATCCATTATAAACTGAACCACTCACCAAACATTTGTAAATTCCTTTTACCTAAGTTCTGTATTAAGCACTGGGAAAAAATAAAGAAAAGAAATAGATGTGGTTCCTGCCCTCATTGATTTCAATCTCAAAAGCAAATAAAGACAGTAAGATTTTATTACTTTTATCATAGATTTCTGGCCCAAACCTATAAATTGTGTTGCGGCATTTTTCAAATGTAAAACATTCTCTGTATTTATTTTTGGGTCGTGAGATCATCTCCTGTTCTACCTTGTTCTTCACTGATTAGTTCTGACTTTCAGCCTTGGCCCTCTGGGTACTAGAAGGGCTATTGGAGATTATTTGTGACTTTATATTTGTTCAATGACGACCTGGCAGACTGAATGTCCAAAATACTCCCTTGTTAAACTCAATTTCAATCACACAGTGGAAAGATATGTGCACGTCTAGAATCTCCTTATTCTCCCAAAAGTTTGCTTAGCAAGAGTGTATTTCAGTTTTAAAACTATAAACATTGGTTTGCATTTGATATGCAAGTAATCTGAAATATGAAGCAATTTTAGTAATTCAAATATTTTATATTTAATTCTTAATCAAAATGATAATGTCATGATCAATTGCAATTCCAAAGCAAAATAAAGGAGAAACTTTTGAAGTCAGGAAACTTCAGATTTACCTGCTGATGATACAAAGATATATTATTAGGATACAGATAAGTGGGTCCCAAAAATTTGTTTAAATAAGATAGGAGAAAATAGGACTTTATTAGTGCCTCATCGAACAGCGTCTGTTCTGGGAACAGAAGCTTTTTTTTCTGTGGGCTAGAGATAGGTGTTACAACACTGTCAAGACGTCTTCATTTTAGCCAGTGGAAATGAGACAGTGCAGGGAGAGCCGATGTGGTTTTAGGAATGCAAACCATGAGGAGCATAAATCACATCTACTTTTATACAACTAGCCACGATTTTGGTATATGGCCATATTTTCAAAGAAGGTTTCTATTCTGTAACTCTCAAGCTCTAACAGGAAAGAAAAAGAATACATCTGGCAAGAAATAGCAAGTTCTACCATAGAGTAAATTCTCTGAGGTGAAGAAAGTTCCATTTGATTAAAATAGATACCAAGCTAATAAAGATTTAATCTGACTGGAAGTCTAGGTACTAGAATAAATTTTTAACTATTTTTCAATAATAGAGCCTGTATTATTTACAATAGCTGTATAATAATAAAAACATTATACTTTTAGCTAGTAAAACACTATTTACTGGCTTTAATTTGATTACAATGAAGTAAAAAATAATGGGAAATTTAACATAAAACTAAATATTGCTTTAGTAATAAAGTTCTTTCCTTTTTTATTTTATGGATTGTTCTGCAAAGAAAATATCAAACATACAGGTGTATCTATTCTCCATTTTTGGGCCATCTCCTACTTTTAAAAACTATACTAACATTTTTGTGTGTTTGTAAAAAATTATTTAAAAATTTATGATTCAACAAACAAGTCAAATTTAATACAAAAGGACAAAATCTATTTCTTTGAGAAATTTGCCATAAAGATACATTTTATATTTGAAGTTAAACTTTTCAATAATTTATTCCCTCTCTGGGCTGCCTGAGATTCTAAATTGCTCAAATTACTGCTTGGGTGCATGGATGACCTCTTACCAGGGCACACTTGATGGCAATTGTTTATATATAGAACACAATCCTGATCAATCTCTGACACTTACTACTGACTTCCTGCTGCTCAAAAATATGTACTCTAATAGCATTTGTATATTTTCTTTTCCCTCAAGGTTTCAGATTCCTTCTCTACAAGAACATGGCAAATTAGAATGAACATCACAAACACAGTAATAGAAGTAGCTCAAGCAATTTGATTGTATGCTAAGATACTGTGATGTCTGCTAAATAAAACTGCTTTATCTAGCTATAAAGATAGAGCTTTATAGATTTAGATGTATATAGTTACTTCTTCACCCATCTTCAGCCTATTTCATACTTTGAAATATTCCAGTTCTTCTGCTAAATAAAACTGCTTTATCTAGCTATAAAGATAGAGCTTTATAGATTTAGATGTATATAAAGAGTTACTTCTTCACCCATCTTCAGCCTATTTCATACTTTGAAATATTCCAGTTATTATCAACCCTTAACATGTAGCATGTTTTTGATATTTCAATCTAATATTAAAAAATTGATAAATGAGAAAATCAAAACAAATATAAAAATTGACAAAATTTTACATTTAAAAATATAACCATATGAAGAATGACTTCTCCAGCCATATGATATTTCTATAAAGTTATAGGTCTGAAATAAATAATTTTAAGTTGTTCAAGTTGTTATATTAATTGGCTAAACTATTCAATTTTTTAAAAAGATGTAGTTAATAAATCCTTAACCTGTGTTAAATATACATCTGTTTAAACAAATAGCTTTTACAATGGATTTGTATAGTGGAGACTGAGAAACATTTCACATAAACATAATTTTTCTGTTAATTTTTTCTAAGTTAGTAGGGATCTTTTCTGTTCCTGAGACAGAATAACCCAGAACCTTCTTCAAGTCCTTGTGAACTCACTGCTTTGACACTGAGGAATCAAACATGGTAGAGAACAGACAAGTATTAAAGGAACTGAGCTTCTGAATCCTGTGTGAATTGTATTTGATTGTTTGTATTGTATTTACAATTTCTGTTTTATCTTCTAAATGTTCTCAAATCTATTAATTTTTCTTTAACTCCACTGTCAACACCTCCCCCAAAGGAAGGTCCTCTCTTACTTGAACAAGTACAGTAGACTCTTGTTCCACTGTCTAATGACTGACATCTACTAATTTTTCACAATCCAGGCCTGCATGAGGCAAAGGATCTTTTTTTTTTGACCAGGGATTGAACTCGGGTCCTTGGCTTGCAAGGCAGGCCACTGAACCGCTGAGTTAAATCCCCGGCCAAATTCCTATTTTAAATACTTCAAATTTTTTTAATGCCTTAGACTTATGCTTTAAACTCATTTTCTAAGTTCTTGCAGGCTCTAGTCTCTGCCTCTTACTCAGGATTGTCTGTGATTCTTTGCTCCTTTTTCCTCTCCAGTCCAACCACCAGGATCATTTTTCTGGCTCCTTTTCCAGAGGAATTTTTCCATGTGGTCCCGACAACTTAAAATGCACTGCCCACTTATATTAGCTTTTTTTCTTTCTGGACACATTACCCAACACTCATAACTTAATGGATGAATGGTTCAGTTTAGCTCATAGTTTGTGGAGATTCAGCCCATAGTTAAATTTATGCAAGCAAGGAAAATAGTGCCGGAAGGGCATGGTGCAGCAATGATGTTTAGTTCTTGATGACTGGGAGCAAAACAAGGGAACAGGGCCAGAGAGAAACATGTGAGTGAAACTTCCATGGCCCACCCGGAGGCACCCCAAAGCATGCTTTACTAATCTGTTGGATATTTTGCAATCCAGTCCAATGAACTTGACATTAAGATTACCAGTCACAATCAATAATACAATAATGCCTTTCCCAATGTTCTAATAGTTTCAGCATTTACATTTTCTACTCCAAATCTCTTCTGAGTCCCAAGGCAAACTTAATAACCCTCTGTAAAAATTTAAAAATGTTTTAAAATTAAAACTAAAATTTAAATTTAAAAAGTCACATAACCTTAAGGTAGGATGGCATAGGGTAAACATTCCCAGTCCAAAAGGGAGCAGTAAAGGGAAAGAAAAGAATTGGAGCAAAGCAAGACTAAAAATTAGCAGAAGAAACTGTAAATTCCATAGTTTTATTTCCAGCATCCAGAGCATTTAGTGGTAAAATGTACATTCCAAAGGACATATGTAGCCAGCCCTCTATATCCTTGCCAGTTGCACCCTACAAGTCCTCTCTCTTGGGCTGGCTCCCCTCAAGATATACACAGCTTTTCTCAGCTGATGTTCCACATTCCTGGCACCTCCAACTTCCTGGGCCCTCCGCTGTAGATTCAGCTCATTCTAACATCATACCCTGCCCTCTCAGGGACCTCTTGCTATGCCTTGCATCCCTTCCTTTGAAATGTGGGTGGAAGCCTCCCTGATCCCACAACTCATACATTCTACATGCTAGTAAAACCAGTATCATGAGGAGGATTTCAAGGTCTGCTGTCAGCAGAAACAGTAGCCAGACCGCCCCCCTTGGACCATGACTACAACAGCTTCTGAATACCTGGATGGCTGAATATGATAAAATGAATCTTGGAGGCTCTTCTCAAGTAGGAGTCCCAGGAATTTTGTTCTACAATGAAAACCTGACACGTTTTCATCTTTGAACCTGATATGAGTGCTGTTTTGTTGTTATCTGAAATATCAGTAGTGAGAGAGCAATGGGAAAGCTAACTAACACAGAAAATTGGTACTAGAGAGGTAGTATCATTGCTGTGACTGTACTCGATCATGTGGTTTAGAAGCCTTTGGAAGTGGTTTGCAGGAGTAGTTTAGGAAAATTTAAATATGCTGGCGAGAGAAACTCTAGAATGCTGTAAATAGAGCTTGTGGATGATTCCAATTGATACTTAGACCATGACGCTGATAGGAATGCAGACAGTAAAGGTCAGACCCAAGAAATTTTAGTTGAAACAAAGACTCCATTGACAGGTGAATTATAAGGCATGTGTGTTAGATTGGAGGGATTCAGTACATAGTCAGATTATGCAAACAAGGAACATGGAAGAAAGGCATGTCAAAGCAATTTGCTTAGTTCATAGTAGTCGGAGAGCAAAGCAGGGGAATAATACTAGCAAGGAACAGGTGAGGGATGACATATATTATTAATGAAATCTATACCTCTGTGATTCACCCATACTTAACTAATCTATGAGATACTCAATTAACCTACTAGGCATTTTTAATCTGATGAAATTGAATTATCAGGATTAATGGTCATATCCCTCCTTCTTTAACTTATTATTAACAATCTGACTATAAATCCTCTGCTCAAATTATTTTACTTCAGCTGCCAGTTAGTTAGTAGAGGCTACAGGTGCTGAGTTAAGGAATGTTGTAATTCATTTGTATTTCTCCCCTTGCTACTTCTCAACAAAGTAAAAGTTAGTAAGATTATGTTACAGTCTCCTTCCCCATACCCATAATTGTTACCATTATATATATATATATGCTTTTAGACATGAGAGGCTATTAAGATTAAAGACAATGGGCCAGAGATTTAGTTCAGTGGCACTGCACCTGCCTTGCAAGTACAAGGTCCTGAGTTCTCTCCCCAATGCAAGGAAAAAAAGAAAAAAGATTGAAGACATTTCTATAAACATACTTTTATTTACACAACAACTCATTCATGTGCATTATCATGTGCCAGAGCTTTTAGACATGAGAGGCTATTAAGATTAAAGACAATGGGCCAGAGATTTAGTTCAGTGGCACTGCACCTGCCTTGCAAGTACAAGGTCCTGAGTTCTCTCCCCAATGCAAGGAAAAAAAGAAAAAAGATTGAAGACATTTCTATAAACATACTTTTATTTACACAACAACTCATTCATGTGCATTATCATGTGCCAGAGACCAAGTCATGGACTTCCATAAACTTCTGTTAAGGCTGACCCTTCCTCTTGTTATGTGCTTTCCCTTGTTTCTTTCCCTCCATTCAATGTCCTTAGGGTTCTAATAAAGTCCTACTCTTCTTTCAAGGGCCAAAAAAATACGACCTCTTCTTTGATGTTTCCAAGAACTCCTTAGGCTGAATTAATCACTCCTTTATCTGTGTTCCCAAAGGAGTTAGTTCATACATTTGTAAGAGCACTTATCACATTGCATTATAACCGTTTGCATATCTGTGTGCACTCCAGACTTTTTTCTCTATGGCAGGAACCATGTAGTACTCATTTTAAAATTTCTCATCACATAGCTACACCTCACAGATACTGTCTCAGGGATATTAACATGTGACAGGCACTAGCTAAATATTAGTTGTTGGTTAAATGCCTAAGGTTCCTCACATGCTTGTGGACATTGCTGTGAATGCTGAGCCGTAAACAACTGTAAGATATATTTTACTATATATTCTGGATGATTGGTTAAATAAATCTTTATGTCATTGTTGCTAATCAGTGGAAACTTCTGCTATAGCCAACAGTCCCAATGCATAGAAAAGGCAAATACAATAGAAAAATATAAACTCTGCAAAAATCAGGGCAATGAGAAATCTGAAAAGCAAGTGGGAATGCAACTATCCTCGGAAATTAGGCTAGGTCACTGAGGAAGGATGCAAAGAAATAGCACAAGAGTACAGGGACATATCTGGGGGACAAAACACAAAAGAAACACAAATATTCTTACTAAAGTCACATGAACATTTTCCTAAGTCATGTGTAGCAAGTAGATTTATTCTGCATTAAAAAAATAATAATAAAAATAAAACATTCGTTCATGTAAAGTAACATTTAAGAGCAAATACTTGAATACTATCCCCAACTTGCTCCTGTCATTGTAACTTTCTTGAGTTTAGTTATATTATCTTTGATGTTTAGTTTAATTAGTGGCTTGGGCGTACCTGAGGGATATTTAAGAATAGACAGATTTATGTCTCCCACAAAATACCAACTTTCTCAGGGTAGTATTCCAATTATCTAGCTTGATTTGAGATGCTGAATGACAACAGATCTCTGTATAATTCTTAGGTTCAGACATCAGTGCTCCTGGAAAAATAGATCCAACCTAACCTGGAATCAACTAAACTTCTTCAATCAGTCTGGGACTAGGGCGTGATGCTGCCTAGCTTTAGATTATGCAAGGAAGGAACTTGGTTCCACTCTCCAGGTCCTGTGATGTTCCTGTGTTAGTACAGTCCTTGGCATACAACCTTGTTGTTATGTGAATAGCCGGAAATGTCCCCTAACCTTGGCCGGGTAAAAAGACTATGAGGAAGGAGGCTGGAGACCTTAAACTTACTATGCCTTTATTTCCATCCTGCCCATTAATTCTTCTTTTGATGCACTTTCACATAGGCTTATACAGCCTGGAAAATGTTGACCCTATGAGTAAAAAACAAATGAAAATAGATTGTATCCAATCAACCCTTACCTTGATCACGGTCTGATGGAAGGCTTAGAACTCAGTTTATACCATGGAAGATGACTATTTTCTAAATAGTGTTTACAAATGAATAGGACTAAATGATGAAAATCCTTGCTGCTTTGAGGAGGATACAGATTTTATTTCAACAATATTTCTAATTATTGTAACAGTGATTGTAAAGAATGAAAACACAAAACTCTAAACAAAATGAAATATTCTATTAAAAGAGAGAAAAGAATGAAACTTTTGAATAGATCTCCTAACATAATCTTCATATTTGACTAAGTACAGAAATATGATATTAAGCTGTGAAAATCTCCAAGAGAATAGCAGATGCTGATAATAAACAAAAGGACTAGGAATGTCTGACCAGTTTATTTATATGGAAGACTGTATATTTAACAAGGAAGTAATGAATCAGAGGCTTTTGACTATTTTGTAAAAGGCTCTCTTTACCTGGAATCTATCCCCTCCTTCTTCCCAATATATGCACTATATGAATAGTAATCTGCTACTTATCATACAAGACTCTACTAATATCTCATGAGAAATCTTCTCAGGTCACCTTAATGTCATCTGACTCTGTGGTAGGCAGAATAATGCGACCCAGTCCAAAAAGATGTCCACACTCTAGTCCTCAAAATATGTGAATATGTTATCTTACATAAGGAAGAGGGGACTTTACAGATTTGATTCAATTAGGAATCTCAAGAGGGGACGAGCATTTTAAGATTACCTCCTTGCAATGCAATTACAGGGTTCTCATAAGTGAAAGATGAAGGCAGAAGAGTTAGGTTGACTCAGAATGGTGTGATGTCAAAAAGGCTAGATTGGTCAGTGCTTGTTTTGAGGTCATAAAGGAGTCAGGGAGCTGGAAGGTAGGCATCATCTAGAAGACAGAAAAGAGATAGAAACCTATTCTTCCCTAGAATCTCAGGAAAGAATGTCTCCCTGTCATTGATTTTAGTGCAGTGAGACTCATTTCTTATTTCTAATGCCAGAACTGTAAGATAATAGATATGTTGGTTTAAGTCTCCAAATTTGTTGCAACAGCAATAGGAAACTACTACAGACTCCTTGGCACAACTTTCCCTCCTCTTCTGTTCATCCTTTTAGTATGGACTAGCACTAGTCTCAAGGTACACAATTTTTTTCTTTGTAGAGTGTCTTCCCACACATTTCTCCCTCCACCATTAAACTGAAGTCAATATCTTACCATTGTTTCTCCAGTGGTCTACTCAGAGCCTTTAAATGTATCAAATACCCCAGAAACATACTATATAAAAAATGAAAATGATCCACCACAGGTCAATTTTTCCTAAGGATTTGCTCAACTATCATTCTGTTTGGTTTCAGCCCCATGGTTCATGATACAATCTATGAAATCCAGTTGAAGCTTTACTTGGTTGAAATATGGGAACAGACACCCCTGCCTTTGATCTTTGATGCTGTTTCATTCTCCTGAATATCCAAATTATTTTATATTTCCTGCCTTATGAAGTTTCATTATACAAAGGAAGATTCTACAGCTGTCTTTATAGACTTTGCCAATGATAAGGGTACTATACAAATTTGTCACCAATTCTTATTTACAAAATCTATAAGGAATTATATTTGGTGATTGGACCATATTCATTCTGTTTTTCAGTAAAGGATAATGGTAAAAGTTAGAGAAAAACAAGTGATGTCAGACAGCCCCATTACACCTTTGTCTCCCATTGCAACATGAATATTTGTAATTTACTCTCAACTCTAACACAGTTGACCCTTAGTAAGATGCCACAGTTAGGAAACTGCACTGTTCTTTTTGCTAGTAGAGGGTTGGATTATGTTGAAAATAATTTAAACAAAAAAGAAAGAATAAGAAGAAAAGATAAAATAAAAAGTGATTTACTGAAAATAAGCTTTATAAGGGCCATAATCAAAGTAAGCTTTATAGGGCCAGGGATTTGGCTCAGTGATTCCACAGCCTGCCTCATAATCTCAAGGGCCCGAGTTCGATGCCTTGAAAAAACAAACAAAAAAAACAAAAAACAACAAAAAACAAACAAACAAACAAACAACAAAAAAAAACTTTATAAAGAAGACTAGAGAAATCTGTGTTACTTTGTTATTAAAGTGTATATTGTAAACAAAAATCTCCAAGTCCATGTGAATCAATAAATAAGATGGAGAAAATATGTTTATAAACATGAAAAGCAAAGTTGGATTCCACTAACTTTGGCTTCCATTTTATTCTGTCATCTTAAGGATGACTGCTGTTTTCCCTTTCTTATACCTGCCACAAGGCTGGAAAAACCAAAGCAGCAAATGAACTTACCTCTTTTATCATCATTCATGGGCTTATTTGTCAGGCAATGTGTGTGTGTGTGTGTGTGTGTGTGTGTGTGTGTGTGTGTGTGTCTTCATGTCTGGCTGTGTGTCTCATGCATGTGACCCTATGTTCATATTAAAGAAATTTGTCAAAGGGACACATTTCTTTCTGAAACCTAGAAATCCCCCTTAAGGAGTCAAAATTACTTCTTTATAACTGTTAGCAAAAGACTACTAAGGTGTTTCACTCGGAGCCCAGCCTGGCACAAATATCCAAATCCATATATGCATAAGATTACAATTTCTTTTTACTCTGCGATAATGTGGGAAAAAAATTTCAGTAGCACAGGAGGTCTCAATAAAATCTTGCATTAGAAATGAGTTTTGTACTGAGAGTAAGCTAAAAGTATCTCCCAGTACCAATTTTGGGAGACTTAACTACAAAAATAATATTGAATATATAGATTTAAATTCAACAGGATTTCTGGAGGGATTGTGATCTTTGCATTATGAATGAAAATATTGTATAACATGTCCTCTATATTGTTTTAATATTTTTTCTCACAGAAAAGACTGTTATTGTTCTCTAACTAGTAATTAACATTAAAAACCAAGATTATACTCTAAAGCGTGGGTTAAATGAGAGCCCATGTAGAAGTCTAGAGCACACATTTGCTTGCTTCAGCCGGCTATAATGGTGTTATTTTTACATATGAACACAAGGCAGATTTGTTCTCCATTCTAGTCCTGGTAGCTGTTATATTCTACTCATTTTCAGCTATATAAGCTTTTCAGTATCTGAGGCTACAAAGTTTGTGTTTCTCATCCAATTTGTTTTAGTCCAGGGGCACTCTGGTGGGGTAAGGTGTAAAACAGTTCACAGGAGATTTCCAATATTAGTTTCCTCACACCTGTACCTTTTGAAAATAATCTCCTTTTTTCCAAAAATAAAAGTGAAATGTTTACAAGGACCAAAGGAACTAATTTTTTCCCCACCTCAACCAATTTAAAAGATTGAGCTGAGCACTCTGGTAGCAAGGGGTGAAGCAAAAACTTGTCTTAGGAGATTTAACAAGCATTTGCCAGTGGAAAATATTTTTGTACATTTCCCCCTCTTGAATGGTTTACTGAAAAACACATTGGGTCGAGTATATAAATGCTTATAGTAAATTGTTTTCCTTTGCTACTTGCATTTTATTACTCAGAACTTAACCGTTACATTTAATTCTTTCTCCAGCTTTATGCTTGCTCGAAGTTTTGTACAAAATCACTTCTTTCCCGTCATCTTAATTGGTGAAAGTGGACGCAGCTGCCCCAGATGCTGCTGGGGCTCCCTCTCCATATAGAGCCTCCTTTAGGTCGTCGTTAATCTTAGATTCTACTGTCTGGAGAAGTTCCAAAGCGCTATCAGCCTAGTATATGTAGCACGCAATCTGCAGTTTTCTTCTGATTCCTTGAAAAATCTGACATGGTATCCTAGAAATTCTGGGGTCAAACAAGGTTCAGTTCCCCAGCTTTAGATGAGTGTGTTGTTCAATATTCTTATTAAAATTATTGACGTAAAAATTGACATGTCCTTTACCTATTAAAAATTATTGAGACCATAGGATGAATTTCATTTATATCTCAAAATATTGGTCTGAAAATAACAATGTTTGCTTTGTCCTGCAGTGAGGCAGAAGCAAAATATTTTAGAAGCCCTTTGGTATTTCTACTACCCTTTAAAGAATACAGCTTTGTTATCAATCCTCAAAAAAGTAGTTTAATTGAGAAGAATAAACAAATGCATATGTCCTCCCAAAAATGAAATAGCATTTTTTTAGCTTTCTTCTCCTTGATTTAGGCAACTATTTTATTATGCTATTGAGCCAATTTAAATTTATCTTAATGTAGAAAAGCAAAATGCATATATTTTTCACTACATACATAATAGATCTCAGTAATTGATTCTCAAGATAATTATAGGAAATGCTACGTATGTTTGCCATTTGAATAAGCTGTATAGGAGCATTCTATTTTGGTGTGCAAAGACTTAAATGTTTTACAAAGTATCAGTGTAATGAAGTACTCAGAAATGTATTTTATTTTGGTGTGTGACAATAAAAGAGAGAAAAGAAAATTCTATGAAACTCTAACTTAAATCAATAATTATGACTAATTGTTGATGCTTACATTATAACAAGATCGATTGTAAATAGCCAGAGTATTTAAACAAATATTAGTTTGATGTTCTTTAGTTTGTGACACTAATGAGCTTCTAATATTGTTTTTATATCAATAACTAAAAGGAAAATTGAAGGAAAAAGGGAGAGCATGTAAATAATTACAATAAAGTCAAAAAAGAGAAGTACAAACTCCTATGGCTTAAAATGTGTTAATAGGAGAAATCATTATATGTGAAGTGTTAAGTAATTTGGAATTTGCTCTCCATAATATTGTATCTTTTACAGTTAGAATTTATGCAGTATTAAATGAGCTATTTCATTGAAATTTGGTTTGCCCTACTTTATTTAACCAGTGTTTTCCACTGACAGGAAGTTATTTTCATTACAACCTTTGAGCTCCTCTGTTTTGGCATTTCTAACAGGACTGCTTTCTACATTGGGGACTCATGGGAGGCAAATTCAGAGGAAATGTCCAAGTACAAATTTATGTGTGAGGCATAGCTACTGAATTCCTCCTGGGTTTGCCTATTGTTGTAGAATGAGACTTTGTAATTACCAAGGGATTATGGTAGAATATGAAAAGGCCTGAAAGTAGCTTTCTTGCAAATCAAGAATGCATTCAACACAAACTTGGGAAGATTCAGCTGGGAAGTGAGACAGAAGTGTCTGGAAATGTTAAGGGTTCAAGCAGAAGAGCCTTCCTGAAACTCCTAATTAAAGAAATAAAAACTGCTTTTAAAGAATGTCAAGGACTGTCATTTGTATTCTCCTCCAAGAAAAAGGTCTTCTGAGGATTGTAAATGAGGTGATGGCACTGTCCAAATACCCAGGATTAGTCCTTTTTTTGTACTGCAAAAGTAATGAAAATGGGGCTTAATGGTACATAAATAAAAATAATTAAACAGAAAATGCTGGTAGTGGTGCGTTACCTGAATTAATATACAAGATTAAGAGTCCAATAACCCAGAAACAACTTCGTTATTTTGGTGTTTCATATAAATTAGACAACTCTCAGAGTACAACAAAACATAGCTTTGACTCTACCATTTTGAATCCAAATTTAAAAGCAAACCCTTCCTTAGGAAGGATGCTTCTGGTGTTTTCTTTCACATAGGTGCGCACGCATGTTCTCATTGAAACAAGCCAGGTTATCAGTTACAACATTTCTGGGTATGTCTTTTTTTAATTTAAGGTTAGAAATTGATGTATTTTTCTTATTGATTTTATAACCAGAGCCAGAACCAGTGATTAATTTACATGTGTTAATTTTTGTGTCCTCAGGTTATCTTTCTACTTGCAGAAATTTTGACAAATGCGTAGAGCAATGAGCCCTA